CAAAGAGGCAGTTTAAAATAACGTTAAGACAACTCAGGAAGTGACAGGACCAGCTTCTATCATTACTGCAATGTTGATTGATTGGTTTGATTTTCATATCCCTATTCAAGGTCTGCCTTACTCAACATAGTATAATCAACGGCTTCTGATTAAAGCTGGGGGAAGGGAGCATCCGATCTCCAGGGAGGAGGGAGGAACAGGACATGCTGGTCATGTCTCCGCCAACCCCTCAGCTCAGGGACAAGTCTGATCAGGAACATTATGGAGCTGCAGAGCAAGTGGCCAGACTTCCCAATCCCTCCTACTTTAACCTCTTGACAGGTTCTCCCACCCTCCCCACCACCAGGGGCATCCCATGCCGGCACAAGTTCAAACCCAAAGTCAGTATCTGCGTGGGACAAAGCCAGAGACCCATTTCAGGCAAGACTGATGCCTCTAGGGAGTGAATGGAAAGCCAGTGTGCATGTGCAGGGTGTGCGTGTGTGGCACACAGGCAGGATGCAGAGCTCCCAAGGGTATTTTCCATCCCCTCTCCAATTAATTAACCTAATTAACCAGCTTAGCTTGTGTTTCCAACAGGAACTCCAAACATTTCCTTTAAGAAAGAGAAAAATCTGTGTTGTTTTCTTTTGAAAATAACTTGAATAAAATCTTACATGAAACAGTCTCCCTCTTTTACCCTGGAGGGATTAACAACCAAGAACACTTCCTAAGGAATTATGCCGAGTCCCTCAACTGGTAACAAAGAAGTCACATTTTGGAAGCTATAAAACTCAGTCTCTCATATCTGTGACAAACACAAAACTTTCATTCATTCATTCATTTGTTCACTCGTTCATGCGTTCACTGAGTTCCTGATTTCTAAAAGTCTTTGGAGACCCCAACTGAAGTTATTTACTGGAGATAATGATGCAGCATGTGAAGGAAAAAAGATTAAATCCTGTTTGTTTGTTTTTAAGATGGCGTCTCACTCTCTGGTCCAGGCTGGAGTGTAGTGGTGCAATCTCGGCTCACTGAAACCTCCGCCTCCCGGGTTCAAGTGATTCTCCTGCCTCAGTGCTCCCCCCCAGTAGCTGGGATTACAGGTGTGCGCCACCACACCTGGCTAATTTTTGTATTTTTAGTAAATGCAAAATGCCATGCCAACCAGACTGGTCTCGAACTCCTAACCTCAGGTTAGCCGCCCCCCTTGCCTTCCCAAATTGCTGGCATTACAGGTGTGAACCACCATGACCAGACAAATCTTTTGCTTTTAATGCTTAAAAAAAGAAAAAGAAAAAAAAGGGCTGCTCATAGTGGCTCATGCCTATAATCCTGGCACTATGGGAGGCCAAGGTGGGAAGGCTGCTTGAGGCCAAGAGTTCAAGATCCAGCCTGGATAACATAATGAGACCCTGTTTCTACAAAAAATACAAAAATAAGGCCGGGCACAGTGGCTCACACCTGTAATCCCAGCACTTTGTGGGGCAGAGGTGGGTGGATCACCTGAGGTCAGGAGTTCGAGACCAGACTGGCCAACGTGGTAAAACCCTGTCTCTACTAAAAATACAAAAATTAGCCTGGTGTGATGGCGCCTGCCTGTACTACCAGCTACTGGTAGGGAGTGTTGAGGCAGAATTGCTTGAACCCAGGAGGCAGAGGCTGCAGTGAGCTGAGATCGTGCTGCTGCACCGCAGCCTGGGCAACAGAGCAAGACTCCGTCTCAAAAAAATAAAATAAAATAAAATAAAATAAAATAAAAAATTAAGCAGGCATGGTGGCACCTGCCTGTAGTCCCAGCTACTAGGGAGGTTGAGGAAGGAGGCTTGCTTGAGCCCAGAAGGCTGAGGCTGCAGTGAGCTGTGATGGTA